CACACACACACACACACACACACACACACACACACACACACACACACACACTCACATACGTACAATTGAGTCCAGGGTTAAGTTCTTGAATTAGTTTGCCCGCAATCTCTACTCCCTTGTAATCTCTAGCGGGGCGCTCCGCGACCTCAGAGAATTTTCACACTTGGCTCTGTTCTATCGGAGATGGACGTTAAATTCGGAGGTCCCACCTTCTAAATGACTGCACAGTTTTACAAATACAATCTCGCAACTTTCGCTTTATGTTTAAGCCGACACAATGTCGATTACGAAGATAGCAGGATGCTTCACCCCAGCATGTCAAGGCCTCCCCGCTTACTGGCCTATATTCAAGCAGAAAGACGGAGATACTGGATGAATTAAATCTTCGACCTGGCGTTGTTTTCCATCAAGGCAAACGTTCTGATCATTTCACCACGGGATGCGGTACAGTCATAAACGTTTATGATCAGACAAACGGTAATGAATAGACGATAATTTAGAGCACAGACAAGGGTGATTAAAAAGAGGTTTAAAAAATCACTTGACCGAGCACGGAGGTAGTCTGATAATTTTTGCTATCTGACAGTACAGATAAAGTTCAAATCCTAACAAGATATAACCGTACTTGATGTTAAAAAAATTACACATAAAATGTCTCGACTACGTTGACGTCAGGGAATTATACCCGTCTACACTGTAGATCGGACTCACTTTACTGAGTCGAGGCCCGCCAGGTTTTCCTTCATGAATAGGGAACCCCCCACCATTTTGGCACACTAGATCGATTTCAACTAAATTCAACTATGATGACCTTCAAAATCAAACACATTGTTTTGTTTATCACGAGTTAAATCGATCATGTCGTGTCAAAATATAAGCTTTAAGTTCCAAAATCAAAGAACATCTAGTGGACCCCGAGTCAGTCAAATAAATCCGATTGGCAGTAAATGTGCAGTGGGATATCGAGCAATGCACTAGGTGTCCTAAAGTGGTGATCTTGGACGCAATTCTCGCTTCTTTCCAACACAGTTGGGATATCTTTCTTTATTTTAATTTTTGAAATGCTACGACTCGTAGGGGCCTGTTCCAATTAATTAGTAACAGATCAACGTTATGTCAAATTCAGACAAAACGTGCAAAAGAAAACACTGAAACGCCTTTTGATGGTTTAAACACTGGCTTTACTGCTATCGTTATTCTGTATCGCCAAAGAAAAAAACACGCCAAAACATTAGCTAACTTAACGAAGTTGTCACTTGGAAATGTAAGTCGCATTCCCTATCTACGTCACAAATGTGATTATATAGGACTGGGCTAATTTTGGACCAATGTATCGACTCGAATTACCAAAATATTGAAAGCCTTAATACTTTTTATCAGATAGAAGAGTGTCTTTCACCACTTGGGGAGTAATCTCTAGAAAATAATATAACAAATTTGGGAAGCAGATATGAGGCGTCACGAGAGGTGAGGGTTTCATTCCTAACATCACAAGAAAGGGGTTATTCTCTCCGAAAGGCCATTTTCCTTGTCAAAGTGTGGCTTATTATACCTCGCCGTATTTAAAATAAATAAATTCAGATGACTCAGATGAAAATGGGAATTCAACATTTGGCACATATGGAACTCATGCGAACGACAATATTGTTAGCGCATATAATATGGAAGCAACGTTGTATGTCAAGGGAGAGGACCGAAATTCCCTGTCAAAAGCGTCATTGCCGTCAAGTTAAGAGGGCCATAAAACATCGATTTAACACAGGAAAAGAGAACAACTGAAGGAAAGACATGAAGTAGCACCTAGCAGTGGTTACCTCCTACTACAAGTTGCGCCCTTCAGCCACCTGACCTTGAAGATACAGAAACCAATTATTTTGCTTCCCACTTCTCGGCCCCCAATTACCACCTTGAGGTTTTTCTTTGACAATAATTTCCCTGTCCAAGACACCCACCTGTCTAAGACAACTACTTTTAACCTCGACAATAGGTGGTCGCTTTTGACAGTTTTGACTATATATATATGAAATAATATTATATATATAATATATATATATT